TTCTCAGTGATTCATTGGATTAGCACATTATTCAAAGATTCTTTGGGCCTTAATTAAGAAAATAAAAAGAACTTAATTTGAGTAAAAAAAAATAGGCTTCTTTGGATTATAATGCCTTCTAGCATCCTTGAGCTCTTGGTTTTTAAGACAATGTCTGACAGGTAACAAAAAGAAAAAAAGAAAAAGAAGGAGAATTTTTTTTCTATTAGGTAGTCATGAATCCCAAATAAACTAGTCGCCACAAAGCTTAGGAATGCCAGAGAAAAAGTAGAGCAGTGTATTTTTCCAGATTGCATATTTTAGTTTCTTTTAGCCATTCTTAGTCAGAATGTTGTATAAGTTCTCTGAGAGATCCAAATGAATTCCTTTACATAATTGAATACTTATAGTTAATAATTAATGTCACCATTTATTATAAAAGTATACCACACCCACTTCTGAAAAGGCCTGAGGAAGTTTACATATTAACACATAGTTCCAAGGCACACTATTATGTTTAAGTACTAAATAAAATGGACTCTACAAAATATAGAGAAATTGATGCTATCAAGGACCAGTCATGCTCTGCCCTTTTTGAATGGCTCCCCACTGCAGACACTACCTCCTCCCTACACTCTTCAGTGGAGGCTGTTTGTTCTTGAACTTACCACTTAACCAACAGGAGCTAGCTGGGCCTGTCCAGCAGAATTGACAGGTCCGTGATGTGGGTAAGAGTGTGAACTTTGCAGCCTAGATTGGAATCGTGGCTTTGTACTTTGAGCAAGTTATTAAAAGTCTCAGAGCATCAGTTTCCACATTGGAAAATGGGGATAATAATAGTACTTACCTCATAGGTGAGAATTAAATAAGTTTAGTATATGTAAATCACTTAGAACAGAAGCTGGCACACCATAAGTGCTAAATAACTATTAGCATTTGGCAATTCAACCTTCTTCCAATTCCTTATAAAAACTCTCCCTTTAGCCCTAACCGGTTTGGCTCGGTGGCTGGAGCGTCGGCCTGCGGACTGAAGGGTCCCAGGTTCGATTCCGTTCAGGGGCATGTACCTCGGTTGCGGGCACATCCCCAGTGGGAGGTGTGCAGGAGGCAGCTGATCGATGTTTCTCTCTCATCGATGTTTCTAACTCTCTATCCCTCTCCCTTCCTCTCTGTAAAAAAATCAATAAAATATATTTTAAAAAAAATAAACACATGAAAAGCTCTTTATGATAAAAGAAATACACTTTAAACTTCTGCTTTCAAAGGTTAATCAGAATAAATCACAAATGTAAGCCAACTTGCCATCTTCATGTCGGAGGTACTGGTTTCCGCCTCTGTCTCTAGCTAAGGACCATGCCTCTCCTTCATCACTCGTCAAGGGCATGTACCTTGGTTGCGGGCACATCCCCAGTGGGAGGTGTGCAGGAGGCAGCTGATCGATGTTTCTCTCTCATCGATGTTTCTAACTCTCTATCCCTCTCCCTTCCTCTCTGTAAAAAAATCAAAAAACTCTCCCTTTAAAACTTGTACATTTCAAATTTATTATCTTCCATCCCTTCTTGTTGTTCTCATCATTCCCTGACATGTATCAGAGACTTTGGAGCATGGCTTATGATTTCTCCCTCCATCCCAAATCTGCCATCTGGGTGACCCTTCCAATATCCAACACTTTGGCTTCTTCAACTCTAGTAACCTTCATCTCCACACAGATATCAACAACTCATCCTTTTCCCCTTGTTATTACCTGGAGCTATTCCACTTGTAACATCTTTAACCACACTGCTCAACTTTCTTACCACAAGCTCCTGTTACCCTCATTGTTCCAATTATAGCTGCTTACCCACCAGAATTGGAATGAAGTCCTATCCTTGCATTCCACATATTAGACTTTCTTCTGGTTGGTTTAGTCCTTCAACCTGTCTCTTTAAATAATGCCTCTGCCTGGCCTGTGTGCCTCAGTTGCTTGAGCATCGATCGCCTCATGAGCCAAGAGGTCACCGGGTTGTGGGCTCAGTCCCCACTAAAAGGCATGCAGGAAGCAGCCAATCAATGTTTCTCTCTCACAGATGTTTCTATCTTTCTCTCTCCCTCTCCCTTCCTCTCTCTCTGAAATCAATAAAAACACATTAAAAAATAAACAATACATCCAACTTCTCACTTCTCTTGCTCCATTTTCCTTCTGCAATACTTACCCAAATGTGGGTTAATCCAGCCCTTCTTACTCTTAAAACCACAGTGAAGCACTCAACTATGTGCATTGGAGCCCTTAACTCATGTCTGGCGGCCTCCTCCACAGCCCCGTGCCAGATCTGCATTTCTTGAAAACTTTCTACCCACTACGTTCTCATGTCTCATATCTAGTCACCAAGTTCTACCTAAACCACTTCCTAAATATCTCTTGAATCTAAAAGCTCCGGTTTATATTTCTCTGCTTTTCTTTTCTCTAATCATTCCCTTTCTCTCCTCCCCAAATTTTTCTTCTCTGCTGCCAAAGTGATGTTCCTGAAGTTCAGGTACCATCATGTTCCCTTACTATCCTTCAGTAACTCCCTACTGCTTTCTGATCTATGCCTTATACCACAGCTTGGCCCCAAGGCCCTCTGTGACCAGGGCCCTGCTCACCTCTCTAGATTTCTTTCTAGATTTGTCCAACCTGTATTCTATATACTCAATTACTTGTACTTCCTTCATTGTGCCATATTCTCTCAGAACCCATGCATCGCCTATGCTACCTCCTTTGCAGAGAATGCCCTTTTTTGTTTCCAACCTGGATAATCCCTTCTGGCTTTTTAGGATTCAGTTCAAATGTCACTTCTTGTCAGCTCCAGTGCAGAGACTTCCTTGACCCTTCCTCCTTGACCTTTCCCTGACTCTTCTCCTTTCTAACCAGGCCGATGGACTATCTCTCTTTGTTCTTCCTTGTGCATTTTCAAGTATTTACCATTGCTCCCCAGTAACTGGCACCAGTAAATAGTGAATTCATGAATAAGTGAAGACATTCCAGTTCCATAAAATAATGATAAAAACTAGACTAACGTTTCATTTTATATGTCCATTTAGAAAAGAGGTATTTAAAATTGAGGCGTAATTAGTTTTGACAATGTCAATAAGATAAGAGTGACTGGTTGGTGGCTCAAGCTCTGAAGTAACTGGCTGAGTAAAAAGCAAGGACATGATTGACAGTTACCACTTATTGAGCAACACTGGGAGCCCAGCAGTACATTAGGCATCTAAGATGGTCTCCTAGCTCCCCTCGTGGCAGCAAGAAGATTGCAACAGCTCTAGGCATTACATCCCCCTATATCAGCGGTTCTCAACCTGTGGGTCGTGACCCCTTTGGCAGTGGAACGACCCTTTCACAGGGGTCGCCTAAGACCATCCTGCATATCAGATATTTATATTACGATTCATAACAATAGCAACATTACGGTTATGAAGTAGCAACGAAAATAATTTTATGGTTGGGTCACAACATGAGGAACTGTATTTAAAGGGCCAGAAGGTTGAAAACCACTGCATATCAACACTTAGGAGTCAGAGAAAGGTCTGCTTTCCCCTTGTGTTTCTTTGTTAAAGAGGCAAACAAAACAAAACAAAACAAAAAACAAAAAAACAAAACAAAATCCTTTCCCAGAACCCTCGCCCTACCGCCAACCATAAGAATATTTCCCTGCCTGCCAGTGTGGCTCAATGGTTGAGCATCGACCTATGAATCAGGAGGTCACGGTTCAATTGCTGATTAGGGCTCATGCCTGGGTTTCGGGATCAATCCCCAGTGGGGGCTGATCAATGATTCTCTCTCATCATTGATATTTCTATCTCTCTCTCCCTCTCCCTTCTTCTCTGAAATCAATACAAGTATATTTAAAAAAGAAAAAGAATATTTCTCTCCAATCTCAATGACCCAGCCAGGTTATATTTCAACTGGTCACAGGCAGGCATGGGCAATGAGAGCATTATTTTGGCTTAGATCAATCAGGATTTACCTGAGTCACCTGACGGAATAGGACACTAAGACAAAATTAGGACTTTGATGAAGGATGAGGAGGGAAATGGTTGTTGGGAAGGCAACTAGCTGTCTTTGCTCAAATTAGTGTCATCATCAAATGTCAGATTTGGAGTCAGGCACATCATAGTTTGATTCCCATGTCTGCCATTTTCTAGTTGGTTTCTGTGTGACCTTGGGCAATTCTTTTCTCCTCTTGAGAATCAATTTCCTCATCAATAAAATGGGGATAGCAAAACCTAACTTGTAATATCACTGTGAAGATTAAATAAAATAGCACACATAATGTTGCCTAACACAATAAACTTCATTCATTAAAAATATTTTTTGACACCTATGATGTGCCAGGTATTGTGCTGGGGCTATAGTGGTAAATAAGATAGATATGATCCCTCCCTTCATATAATTTATTAGCATTAAATGTTAGTTAAAAAAAACTCCCTAATTTTGCTGACTAAAAAATTCAGAAGCACTGGATTACTTTGACAATCACTTTTTAAAGAAATACATTGTTTTCAGGCGTGCTTATGGCTCCTAAAGTTTTATGTGTGAAAGTTTAGAAACATTTATTTTTCCTTTTTTTTTCTGTTTAATTTAAATTATCAGAGACATTTACATTTTATGAATATATTTTCACTGTGAGTGCTGTCCGGATTCCCAAACATAAGATAACTGGCAACGTACAATATATTTAAAAGTGAACAACCGAGACAATATCCAGTACATATTTGTAACCCTGGGAAAAAATGCAGATGCAATAATGTGTAGTCCACCCATCTGAGTCAAGACAGATCCACTTCATGGGGAGGGTTAATCTTCACATAATAGGAACAATCAGGTAATTAGAGTGACCCATTCCGCAACCATGACCGTTAACAGTTTTTATCTTTTAATGAAATGAACAATACAGTTAAAGAGGCTTGTCAAAACTAATCTCTCCAAAAAATACCAGTATCACATATGCTTGAAAGTATAATTAAGATACTACTGAAGCAGATTGAGGAGTCTCTCTTACCTTAACCTTTTTTTTGGGATACAGGAAGAAAAATGGTTTTAGAACAGGAGATCTAGAATATAATACAAAAGAAGGGACAATAAACATTAGATTTACAAATCTGAGGGCTCAGAAAAAAGGGAGGTAGGGTTTCCAGACCTCCACTCACTTGTCATGCCTGACCCACCTCTACCTAGTTTTCTTACTGACCATATACACCCATCAATTTCCCTTTGAGCATACCAAGGAGCACTCATATTTCTTCATCAGAAAGTGCCTTTATATACACAAAAGCCAAGCATTAGTGGGTCACTAAAAGTTGAATGAAAAAGTTGTTTTTCTAGTACAAACTCTGGATTTTCACCAGTACATTCCTTCATCCAGTCTCCCGTAAGACCTAAAAGAAGTCCGCATGGAGCCAGGGAATCATTTCTAGACACGGACAGAGATAAATGGCCTTTAGTGTGATCTAATATTTAAGTTTAACCTAAATACAAGTGTCAGGAGGAAATCGACTTATCTAATGTGGACAGACAACAAAGTATAAGAAAAACCCACAAAAATTTTAAACAGGAAAGAAACACAGACCTAGAGAAAGCATTGAATATTTGTGGACTGAACTGACCAAGAGTTGAAACTAAAGACAAAATAAGTTATTATTAAATTGTATGGTGTACAAGATTAAGTTTATGGGACCAACTACCTTGGGATCCTTAAATATTTTTAAACCTTTTTTATAGTGAAATATAATACTTATAGAGAAAAGGTCAGGGAACAAACATTACAGTTTGATGATTTATCACAAAACAACATCCATATAATCACCACTAATGTCAAGAAACAGATTGCTGCCTGCAGCTGAGAAGGTTCCCTCCTGCCTCTCCCAATCACTACCACCCCTGACAGAGGTCATCACTATCCTGACGTTGATGAAAATAATTTCCTTGCTTTTCTTTATAGTTCTCCCACCTAAGCGTGTATCCCCAAACATGAGTTTATTTTTGCCTGTTTTTTGAACTTTGTGTAAACAGAATTACAGTACATAGTCTTTGGTTCCTGACTTCATTGATCCTCCATGGTGGTGGGAGGTCCATGGTCCCAGTCCATCCTTGCAGCAGATCGCTGTAGGGGTAAATCCTTCCCATTGATGTGTCAACAGCAATCAAGACTCACCTATAACAGGAGGGTGTACACAGTGCACAGGGCGAGAGGGGTGCACCTGGAGTTTCCAGCTTGGGTGAGGGGGGAGGCTGTGCCACTGGACCCTATAGAACACCTACTACATAAGGCCACTCTACCCAGCCTGGGAGATGTAGCAGCTCTACCTAATACATAAAAACAAACACAGTTAGGCTGCCAAAATGAGGAGACAAAGAAACATGTCCCAGATGAAAGAACAGAACAAAACTCCAGAAAAAAAAAGAACTAAACAAAATGGAGACAGGTGATCTACTAGGTACAGAGTTCACTGGTTATAAGGATGCCCAATGAACTTAATGAGAACTTCAACAGCATAAAAAGGGATATGAAAACCATAAAAAAGAACCATCAGAAATGAAGGATATACTAACTGACATGAAAAATTTACAGGGAATCAACAGTTGATTAGATGAAGCCAAGAATCAAATCAGTGATTTGGAATATAAGGAAGCATAAAACACCCAACCAGAACAGCAAAAAGAAAACAGAATAAAAAAAAATGAGGATAGTATAAGGACCCTCTGGGACAACTTCAAGGGTACTAACATTTGCCTCATGGGGGTGCTGGAAGAAGAGAGAGAGCAAGAAATTGATAATTTATTTGAAAAAATAATAAAGAATATAAATTAGTAAAATAGATAGTAGGTCAGATGGTAATAAGTGCCCTAAAAAAAATTAAAGCACAGTAGGGGGACAGAAAGTGTTAATGGATCTTAGGCAACATTAAATAGTGTGGTCAAGTAGTTCTCTTTGAGAAAGGACTTTTGGGCTAAGACCTGAAGTGAGGGAGGGAGCCATGAGCATTTGAGTCAGAGTGAGGAGAAAGTGCAAAGACCTGAGGCAACCTGGAAGTGAGGCCAGTGTGGGAGGCTGGTGGACAGTGAGTGCCTGGGAGAAGGTGGAGACTGGAGAACAGAGATTGGGCAGAACCTGCTGGACCATCTTCAGGACTCAGCATCTACTCTAGGTAAGAGTAAAGATTTGAAACAAAGGAGTGATATCATCTGGCTTACATGTTTAAAGACAGAACATATATTCATAGCCCATGGACACAGACAACAGTGTGGGGAAGGCCAGGGGAAGGTGGTGGGGGCTGGGTGGAGGTGGGCAAAGTGGGGGAGGGAATGGGAGACATCTGCAATAGTGTCAATGACAACAAAACAATTTTTAAAAAAATATATATTTTATTGATTTTTTACAGAGAGGAAGGGAGAGGGATAGAGAGTTAGAAACATCGATGAGAGAGAAACATCGATCAGCTGCCTCCTGCACACTCCCTACTGGGGATGTGCCTGCAACCAAGGTACATGCCCTTGACCGGAATCGAACCTGGGACCCGTGAGTCCGCAGGCCGACGCTCTATCCACTGAGCCAAACCGGTTCGGCAACAAAACAATTTTTAAAAATAAAAACAGTCACTCTATTTTGAGAACAGATTACAGTGGGAACTAGAACCAGGGAGATCCGTTAGGAGATTATTGTAATAATTCAGGCCAGAGATGATGGTGGCTGTAACCAGGGTGGTCATTGTGAGGGTGATAAGTGATCAGACTTTTGACATATTTTGACACAGAACTTCTGACAACTTTTGACACAGAACTGGCCTGTATATAAGACATGAGAAAAGGAAGTAGTCAGGAATGACATGAAAGTTTTGGGCTTGAAGTTGCCATTAGCTGAAAAGAGGGTGGACTGGTTGGATGGGGATTGTGGGGCTGAGTTTGGGACATGTTAAGCTTGAGATGTTTACTAGGCATCCCAATGGGAGTTATTAAGTAAACAGATAGTATGTGAGTTTGAGGACCAAGGAAGACAAAGGAGCTAGAGAATAAATTGGACAACCATTGGCATATAGGCGGTATTTAAAGGTAAAGATAAAATGAACTCATCAGAGGTGCAAGTGTAGGTAGAAAAGAAGGGAGGTCCATGCCTTGAGGCACTGCAAGGTTTCAAAGTCAGGGGGGAGGAAGATCCAGCAAAGGAGATGGGGGAGTTTCTGACAACGAGGCAGTAGACATCCACAGAAAGCCAGTGCCTTGGAAGCCAAGTTAAGAAAGTATTTAAAGGAGGAGAATCATGGCCAATAGTGCCAAATTATGCTCAGGGAGCAAGTAAGATGATGACAACAACCGACCTTTGTATTAAACAAAATAATGGTATGGGAGACCTTGACAAGGGCAGTTCTGAAGGACCAGTAGGGGTGAAACCCTTTTTGTTGTAGACAGTTCAGGACAGAATGGGCAGAAAAGAATAAACAGTACGAGATAACTTTTTTTTGAAGCTCTTTTTCTGTCTTATCAGAAATCAAGAATGCATGGATTCTCTTTCTCTCTAAAAGAGAATCCATGCATTCTTGATTAAGCTGACACAAATACACAGTGGAACCCAGTAATCTTAACATATCACATCTTATCGCCAAAGAATAGAACACAAAGCAGCTAGAAAATTCCACTACAGCACACGAACTTACTTCATTTTTTACGAAAAGAACTACCAATTCTGGTAGAAGTCCTAACCTAAATGAGATGGCCACCTTCCTCTAATTTTGTTAGATGAAGCTAAATAAGGTTCCGTTACTTGTCAATAAATTGTATTTCCCCCGCTGTAAATTAGTGATTGGAAAAACAGGTTAGCTCAGCCTTATTTTTCTACTCCCTAGAAAAGCCATTTATCTCATGAGAACTTTAACCCCAGGGACCAATTCACCTTCCTGAGTCATCCAGGATCAGCACAGGTGCCTCTCAGATAAGGTCAGCTTACTGTTCAAGAGCCTCCGTAGGCTCCCGGGAGTCTCAGGAGAGTTAATGAACAAGATGTGCCAGGAGGACAGGCTTAGGACCCCAGACCTGCCCTGCTCTCACCCCCTATCCAGAAAATGATGTGAGGGGAGCAATATATAAAAAACAAACTTTAGCATATCATCAATAAACTCACACTTTTGGACGACCTCCAACCACTCCCGTCAGACCAGGTGCTAAAGAGAAAAAACAAAAACAAAAACAATTTCCTTCTTACTTGATATAAGGGTTTGATTAATGGTATAATATAACCTCAGTGTGGTCCACTGTAACAAATGATTAATTTTCTAACACAGGGTGCTATTAAGCTCTTCAGAAAAATGCAAGTTAAAACCATGTCCAGAATTCATAATTAAGAATCAGTAAATGGAGGAATAATTTGACAAGTAAAAATTCATATGGAATAGGATCAAGTTATTATTACAACTGAAATAGCTGAAAGAGATAAGACAGCAAACAATTTTCATCACATTAATAGAATAACATTGTACTTATTTGATACATTTTTCTACTTTAAATATTCAATTTATAGAATTAACTCTTTTTAATAGCCAAGGGAAACCTTAAACTTTATTGCAGGAAATCCTTTTTGGTTGTGTTTTTTGTGTGGGTTTGTTTTGTTTTTTAATAGGGACAGCTTCTCGTTGCTCCAAAAACCAAAACATAATCATGGTTGGCCTTCCTAAACAGAACTTTTTAAATTTGAGTTATAGAGAAGAAAATGGTACTAACTTTTCTCTCTCTCTGTCCATATACACCACCTAGTGGATTTATAATTTAATTAAGAACAAGAATGAGAAAAGACTTCTATGATCTAATAACTCAAATGATACATGTTGGCTAAAATATAATGCCTTATAAAAATATGGCAAGGAGAGCATTATAAGAAAACAATAAGGGTTTGTCATATAAGACTATCTTGTAGCTGACACATCTATAAAAGGTAAGAAAGGAATTAAGAAACTATACTGTGGGAAATAATCATAAAGTAAAGTTACTCAGAAGAAAATAATCAACTAAACTGTCACTTATAAAATTCTTTTATGCAAGCATGCAATATTTAGGTGAATTTCACATTATATTAAGAATACAACCAGCATTGAATATTTATGTATATTTCACTTTATACTATATCCTCATACTATTTCAATACTATAAATTATAGGGCCTTAGAAGTCAATTAGTCTAGATTTCTGACTTCACAGATGAGAGAACTGAAGTCCAGAGAAGTTAAGTGATTCTCTGAAAGCCCACAGTTAGGCAGTCGAATGATCAGAATTTAGATTCCTTGAGTTTTTCCACTACCCCTTCTGACAAAGTAAAAAGTGGTACTCAGAGCAGACACTAAGTAAAATCCATACAAATAAATATGTAATTGCATCCTTTTATGAAATAGGCTAATAAGGGAACCAAATTTAGACTGGAAACGTTTCTCAGTGGAAGTCACTGATAAAAGAAGGGAATAAGCAAAGGAAATAAGCATTTCAGGCCGCAGGGAAAAACAAACAAAGGTGCATATACTTTCTCATTCTTGATAGATATTGCCAAATTGCTCCCCAAACTGAGTGAATTAATTTATACGGCCCACCAGCAATGTATGAGTGCCTATACTAGTAATCCTACAGCCCTTACAAAAGCACTATATTATCAAAATTTTTGAAATTTGAAAACCGAATAGGTGGAAAATGGCATTCATTGTAGTTTGCCTTTCTCTTATGATGAGAACAGCTCACATTCATTGCCTGTAAAGAAGGACTTGAAGCGGGCAAGAGTGAAGTCAGGGAGGCCAGTGAGAAGCTAATGCGGGAAGCCACGTCGGAAGTGGTTGGGGTATGGCAGTGGAGGTGGCAAGAGGGAACAGATGCACACCACATGTTGCGTAGGTGGGACTGATAGAATCTGGCCACACGCTGGGTGTGGAGAATGAGAGAGAGAGGAGAGTGTCAGGGTGATTTCCAGGTTTTTGAATGATGGTTTATAGAACCAAAGGACTTGAAACAACTTAAATGTCCATCACAGGGAATTTTTCACATCTATAGGATAGAATATAATGTGGCTGTTAAAAGGAATTGAGGAAATTAAAAGGAATGAAATTATTATCTATTAGGTTAGAAAAACAAGGTTTAGAATAATATGACTTGCATGCTATCTGTGCATAAAATGGAGATGTTGTATATGATACTACTGTTTGTGTTGGAAAAAAAAGTTGTATATAAATGCCTGTCTATGCATACAGCATAGAAGGATTTACAAAAAAGTATTGACCCTTCAGAATGAATTGGGGACTGGGAGTTGAAGTGAGAAGCTGACTTAATTCTCATTTGATTTTGTTGCAGTGTCTGAATTCTGTACCATGTGCATGTACTATTTTTTTAAAAATTAAAAAATAGCCCAGCCAGTGTTGCTCAGTGGTTGAGCGTTGATCTGTGAACCAGGAGGTCGCCATTCGATTTCCAGTCAGGGCATATGCCTAGGTTATGGGCTCAATCCCCAGCGTGGGACATGCAGGAGGCAGGCGATCAATGATTCTCTCTCATCATTGATGTTTCTATCTCTCCCTCTCCCTTCCTCTCTGAAATCAATAAAAAATATTTAAGTAAAAATAAAAAGATATAAAATCATTAATCTCAATCTATGCCAACCATGCCACCTGCAGGAGACTGGCGCAGCCTTTTCTCTGCTCCCCAGATCTACACTCCCACGCAGATGACACGTCCCCACTCAACCTCCACATTTCTGAATTAATTCTTCACTAATTGATGCTAATGCCTTTTAGAAATGTTGCAAGCCTCATGGGAAAGCTTCTGCCTGAACTCTGTGCGGCCGATAATCTTAATCTGTTCTGTTTAATAACAAACTTCATCACTGTGACTTTTGTTTATTAATCTTGCTTCCTATTCTTTTCCCTGGGTCATCCCAAGTGTTTCTTGCCCACAGAGAACTGCACAGAAACTCCAAGTAGCTCTACTCCTCTGCCCACAAGAGCAGGCACACAAGCCACGCTTGCCTGAAAGAGTCCTCCTTGGGACCTTCAAAACTGAGTCTGGTTTACCTAGCCCTTCCGAATGATACATGTTTAGGATAAGCAGTAGCTTGAATGAGATTTAAAACATAAAGTCAAGAGAATTTTCAGGAGTAGAGGCTTGACAGTAGATATGCCCTTTTGACTCTTAGGAGACCAGAGTATAGAAATGATCTGTCCATGACCTTCCTTGATTTCTGAGAGTTCCCTCTGCCCTAACATCTTCTGTTACAGAAAAGGAAGTGGCCAAACAAAATTTTAGTGATGGATTTTCTACATGCTATTGCTATTGACATAAAATTAATTTGGAGCGGTATCTGTCATATCATCAAACTACAAGGATCTGAGCCCTCGGTTTGTGCACAACATGGTAATATGCATTCACAGTATTAACCTCTGATCTTGGTTCTGTTGAGTTCAACTACATGTTTTTAATTATTCTATTTCTTCTAAATTCAGAAGATAAAACCAAAATGTAGCAAACTGTTAAACCAAGGACCTTTCTGAAAGTGTTTTCCAATACACTTATGAGATCAGTCATAATATTTATATATACTCAAGCACTTTGAAATCTCAGGCTGCTTTAACCAGCTGTCATTTTGGTGTCAAACTCCGGTCATTTTAATGTGAAACAAAGGTCAAGAGAGGGTTTGTCTTATTCTTTTCCTATTAGAGAAATACTTTATAGTTACTGAATTCTGCTTAAATTCCTAACAGTAAGTCCCCATTGCATACTCCTGCTATCTGGGCCACATGAGATTTTATGATTGTTCACAAATAAAAGACATAGAAATAAAGCAAAGTAAAGTGTCAAATTAATATTTACAGTATTATCAACCACCAAAAATATACACAAGCCAGTTATGGTCTATGCAAACTTGGCACTGATTATTAAGAAACATATATATCTAAGACTGATATCCAGAATGTACACAATGCCAATTCAGTTCTTTCTGAAAATAAGATGGCATAGTCGTTTTTTCATTGCTCATTCTAGAAATTACACTGTATTTTTTAAGTATATTTTTTCTTGTTGATAGTATTACAGATATCCCCCATTCCCCCTTCCCTTTCCCCGCCTTCTGCCCAATCCCTACCCTTCATTGCTCATTCTAGAAATTACACTGTATTTTTTAAAATACATTTTTTCTTGTTGATAGTATTACAGCTATCCCCCATTCCCCCTTCCCTTTCCCCTCCTTCTGCCCAATCCTTACCTCCTCCTCAGGTCTTCACTACCCTATTGCCAATGTCCATGGGCTATGCATATAAGTTCTTTGGTTTATCTCTTCTCATCCCCTCAACCCCACAATGAGGTATGTTAGTCTGTTACACTGTAACGATCATTCAAAATTTTGCTAAATTGTTGGCCTTTAAAAAAAGAGCTTACTTATTTCTAAAGCGTATTCTCTCAGTTTGTTATTTAACCCTAAAATTATATATATATAATTTGTTCAACATCCATTTCTGCTTTTTTTCTAGAATCTTGACTCTCACCTTAAGAAAAATTTGCTAATTCGTATAAGGATAATGCATTGTACAAGATTATTTTATTATAAGAATCAGCCATCATATTAAAGAGTAAGGACTTAAAATTATGCATTCAAATAATGACAAAGGAGGAAAAGTATTTCAAGGTACCCATTTGGTTCCCTTTAAGTGAGGTTTAGACCTTCCCAGTGATACATTCACCCAGTTCTACTGAAATTACACTGTATTTTTTAAAATACATTTTTTCTTGTTGATAGTATTACAGCTATCCCCCATTCCCCCTTCCCTTTCCCCTCCTTCTGCCCAATCCTTACCTCCTCCTCAGGTCTTCACTACCCTATTGCCAATGTCCATGGGCTATGCATATAAGTTCTTTGGTTTATCTCTTCTCATCCCCCCAACCCCACATTGAGGTATGTCAGTCTGTTTCACTGTAACAATCATTCAAAATTTTACTAAATTGGCCTTTAAAAAAAGAGCTTACTTATTTCTAAAGCTTATTATCTCAGTTTGTTATTTAACCCTAAAATAATACATATATACATATATATGTATATGTATATGTATGTATATGTATGTATATGTATGTATAAATTATATATATATAATTTGTTCAACATCCATTTCTGCTTTTTTTCTAGAATCTTGACTCTCACCTTAAGA